CAGCGCACAAAGAGGTCGTTCATCTCTGTCCAGTCGTTGAAGCTGGGCACCTCCTTTGTCTTCCAAATCACGACGCGCAGCTCAAACTCGCGCGGCGGCGGCAGTGCAATGTCATCCGGTGCATACAACGACGCGTCGTTGGGCGGCAAAATGTCGACCCAGAGGTTGAGGTGGCCCATCGGCGCCCGGGACGTCGGCACATACAGCGTCCGCTCTTCAACGGGCTTGGGCGCGAGCCGGTCCGGAGTCTGGAACGCCTCGCCGAGCGCATGCCAGTTCTTATCAAAGAACCGGTCTTCGAGGTCGATGGTCGTCGCCCCAATGAGACCGTCCGGGCGAATGAGGTCGTGGTCGAACGCGTCAATGTGCAAGGTCGACGCACCCGGGAACGAGCAGTGAAACTCGTACATCTTGTAGAAGTCAGGGTCCACCGTGTCCTCGACGTAGTTTTTGCGGTCGTTGATGCCGTCCTTCCCGAGCGTTAACTTGAGGTACGGGTCCGACTTGGTGGGCTTCCCGCGGATCCCAGAGTCCATCGGTGCAAAGCCATGCCCGTTGAGGACGTAGACGCGGACGTTGTACGGCATTGGCGTCTCGAGCCGCTCCATGTCGATGAGCGACGGCTCGTCTTCCGAGAGCATGACGCGCACGAGGCCCTTGAAAATGCCGGCCACGTTCAAGGTGGCGTCGTCGTGGTGCAGATGGTGGTGGTGCGTATCGTGGAAGCGCGGCTGCTTGGTGCCGTACTTGAGCGGGTTGAGGAGCGAAAGCAGCCGCGACCGCTTCTTCTTTTGGCCAATCGTCAGCGCATACGTCTCGAACGGCTTGGTGCTCAAGAGGGCTTCGAGCCCGTCGTTGATCTCTTCGCGGTCCTTCATGTACACCTTGCGCTTGGTCTCAAACGCATCGTCGGCCGCTTCGTCCTCGACAAACGCTGTGAACTCGCGCTCGGCCAAGTCGTCGGCAATGGAGGTAGGTACCAACGGCAGCGGCGTCTTGAGCGCCGGCAGCAGCCCCGCGCCGCTATCGACAAAGGACGAGACCTTGCGCTCGACACGTGGCGCCTCGAGCGACGTCGGCGCGTCATCGTGGTGCAGCGTGCCCTTGCGAATGCCCTCGACGTGTCGAAAGTCCATCCGCTGCGGTGGCAAATACCCCTTGCCCCACGGCAGCTTGGACGTCATCTACATCACAAGAGCACTCTGAGGACCCCGCCACATTACGCAAACATGGAAACAAGACGTACGTCGATCGAGCAGTTGCCGACTGTCGGCGTCGTCCACCCGCCAAGCCGCGTGTCCTTGACGAGCACGCCGAGCACAGGCGCAAACAGCGGGTCTTCCGGCAGTTCGACTTCTTGCACAATGCGGTGGAGGTAGTTGGGGTTGGCGGCCGACGGGCGCTTGGAGCGTTCGGTCACGAGCTCTTCGCCGCCCTGGAGCGCCTTGGCGCCACCGAGCGTAAACTCAATGAACGGCAGCTGCATCGGCATAAACTGGAACGGCTTCATGTCCCGTAGCCCGAGCACGATGATCTCCAGATACGCCTTGCGCATCTTGGGTACGATCGGGCGCGGCACTGGAAAGATCATGTCCGGTCGATCCTTCCGGACCACGATGACGCTGGTCAAGATGAAGCCTTCCGTGTCGCCTTCCTCTTGCTGCATGAGCGGGTACCACTCGGGCACGGGCGGCTCGTGCGCGTCATTCACATGCCGCACGTTGTTGCTCGAGATCGGCACGAACGCCGAGCCAATGTACTCGCTCGACGAGCCCGCGATCGTCTCGTCCTGGTCTTTGACCCGGAGCGTCACGGGCGGCGCAAAATGGAGCATGTCGACCGGCGGCAGCTCGACTTCAAAGCACACGGTCTCGTACCAGAGCGGGTTGACGGTCCGGTGGCGCGGCTTGATCTTGGTCTCGAGGCCGCAGAGCCGCACTTTGACGTACGGGTCGCAGAGGCCGTTCGAGTCCATCGCGGGCAGCTGGCGGCCCTGGAAGATGTTGACTTGGACTTGGTATTTCAGGCGCGTGTCGAGCTTGCGCGTGTCAAAGACCGAGTTCCAAAGCGCTTTGGTCTGCAGCGCCGTGGCTTCCGAGCCAAAGCCGAGCGCGAGAAAGACGTTGCCAGGAAAGATCTCGTCGCCGAGCGCGTCGACCGAGTTGTCTTCCTTGAGCGCGATCCACTCGGGGTCGGCAATCATGTTTTTCGACAGGAGCTGGCGCGCCGAGAAGCGCTTGAACGCCACTTGCTTGCGCACGCTGAGCTTGCCGTCGACGCGGCCCTTGCACAAGTACACAAACACGTCTGGGATTTGGTCCGGGTCTTCTGGAAACACAAAGTTGTCGGTCTCCGAGAGCTGGTTCCACACCACGATGCCCTTGTTGTTTTCACGCCGCTCAAAGTTGAGCTCCATCGAACCACATGTGATGACGATCTGCATCTTGGAGTTGCGGTACGCGCCATGCGCAAGCGACGCCAACTGCGGAATGTCCGACCCCGACCCGACGTACGCACGCAGCCGGTAGACCGCCGTGGGCGGGTACAACTCGCGCGGGAGCGGCGCTGCCTTGACGCGCATGTTGGCCTCGTCGAGGTCCTTGTTGACGCGTACGTCGAACGAGACGAGGATCCGACCGCGGTAGAACGACGCCATGTCGGGATACACGGCCATTTGGTCCTTGACCGTCTCGACTCCGTGGAGGAGGTTGCCCTTGGCGTGGTCCAGCGGCGCACCGTAGAGGTTGATCCACGTCGGCGCAATGGACCCCCCGACGCTCTTGATGTACCGCAGCGACTGGTACGAGCTCGCGACGAGCTGGTCGACGCCGACCTTGTCCCACGCCTTGGCCGCGATCGTAATCTTGTTGCTCAAGCTCGGCTCCCGCATCGCGAGCCAGAGCTCGTCGTTGAAGGCCGGGTTGAGCAAATGCCGCGCACCGCTTAGCGCCTTGATGCGCGTGCGGATCGACGGATTCGAGCCGAGACCGATCTCGACGTACGCGTCAATGCCTTGCCGCAGCCCCTTGAAGAGCGAGTCCATCGGCGGCAAATGCTCGCCGACGTGGACGGTCGCGACGAGGAACTTGATGTCTTGCTTGATACTCGGCGGCACAATGACGCCGTCGACGCCGGCTTGGCTCGGACCGAGCGGCGGCGGATGCACAAACTTGTCGCCGGGACCTGTGATCGTGATCGAGACGCGGAGGTAGCCCTGGATGCCCTTGCGCGGCGCAATGAGCGCGAGCCACTGGTTGCAGATTTGGTGGTTGAGGTTCGAGTAGATGAACGAGACATCAAACTGCGCCTCGCCAATGAGCTCGGCGCGCGAGAGCGTGTTGGCGTCCATGACGCGGAGCTTGATCGAGCCCATCTCGACCGTGTCCTTGTCCAAATTGCGAAAGTTGAAAATGAGCGTGTCGTCCCAGACCGCCGAGAGCGCCTTCTTCTTCGTCGCCGTGTGCTGGACCTGGTCCATGACGTGGACGAAGACCACCGGGTCCGACGTGCCCGAAGCGTCTTTGGCCACCAAATCGCTGGCTACATAGCGTAAAAGTTACGAAAAATGCCAACAAACGCGAGGATCAAACCTTCGATCACGTGCACTTGCACCGAATAGTCGCCCGACTTGATGTTGATAGCTTCGAGCGCCTTGCGCTCGGCCTCGCGCGCCCGCTCCCGGTCGACACGCTCTTTCTGAAGCTCCTCGTCAGTCTTTTTTGGCACCTGCTTGACGTGGTCCGAGTCTTCCTTCTCGTCCAGGTCGTACATCTATGGCCAGTCCCGTGAGATGACACGAGCGAGGTTAGCGTACGTCGGGCGTGGCGTTGCCTGTGACCACGTTCTTGACCTTGTCGAGGAGGTTGACCTTGCGCCGGCTGTTGGCGTCCACGATATCGTCGACGTTGGCCTTGTAGATCCACTGGATGCTCACGTTGAGCGTGCCGAGGTTGCGCTTGTTCTTGAACTTTTTGTTGAGCAGCTGGATGGACACTGACCGCTTCTGCCCGTCCGTGAGCGTGTCGAGCGAGAAGCGCGCTTTGCCCAAAAAGTTGGTCGACGTGAGGAGGTCGCCGACAATCTTGTCTTGGTCGCAGACCTCAAAGAGGATGTCGGTACCGAGCGCCGAGACTGGAATCTCAAACGTCTCGTTCCAGACCGGCGTCAGCGTCTTGAGCTTGGTCGATGTTTTGCGCACGTCGTTGCCGACCGTGACGCGCACGAACGGGTCGCTCGCGCCGTTGCTGTCGACACTCGGGAGGTCCTTTGCACTCTCAATCTTGACGATGAGGACGTTGGGCGGCGTCTGGAGCTCGTAGCTCGCGACCGAGTCGGCCGACTCGCTGCGGCTGCTCATCTCGCGGGCCGACCGCGTCGTCGCGCTGAGCGACGGGCCAGACCCGCGCCGCAAATTGGTCTCAAACTTGAGGTACAGGTCGCCGGTCGCGGGCCCTTTCATGCGGTCGACCGGTTGCACGCGGTACCCTCGGTTGATCGGGCCGTTGCCGAGGTTGGTGCGAATGTCCTGCATCGCAAGGTTGACTTGGCCGAGCGGCACGTCGCGGAGCATGTTCTTGTCAAAGAGCGAGAATGAGACGTACGAGACCGTGCGCACGTCGACGTCGTCGCCAAGGAGGAACGTCTCGTTCCAGACCGGGTTGACCGTGCGCATGACCTGGCCTGTCCGCTTGTCGCGACTGCGGATAAGCTCGTAGTTGCTGTTCATGAACGTGATAACGACATACGGGTCGGACGTCTTGTTGGCGCCAAAGCCATCCGTGCCAAGGATGTTCTCGGCGCGGACGACGGTCACGAGGATCTCTTCCATCGTCGGTCAAAGAGGAGGTGGCCAAATGAGCCACTTGCCCGACGCGAGAAAGGCAGCAGCAATCCGCCGCTTCTGATTGGCGCACGCCACTTTGCCCAAATGATCGACGCGATTTGATTGGTTCGTCGAAGAGTTTGGCCCGGATTCTATTCTTCCGCCACACAACCCGGCGCAGCCGACCAAGACATCCACACGAGATGACAACAGAGTGCAACGACCGCGACAAGGTCACCGCCTAGGGCTACCGCCTTGTCGTAAACACAGATCGAGACAAGCGCTCGCGACATCTGATCTAGACCCGTGTCGCCAATGGCGACGGTGGGCTCGCAATGCCATTTTCGTGGAGGGGTAGGCACGACGCCCTCGCATCTCGTGGCGGCGGCAGCCAGTGGCGGCTGGTCCAGCGTCAAATAAGTCGCGATTGTGCAGGTGTGTAAACCCAGCATGTGCCGGTAGCCTCCTTGGGCTATGACCTTGAGCACCACCCCCGAAGTCAGAGCGCCTTGTACTACAGCGACCGAGACGAACATGCTCTGGTTCATCAACTCGACCATCTACGATGGTCATGGCCGCAGCCAAGACACGATCATGGTTAACGATCGCATAAAAGTAAACCACGTGTAAAGTGCAACCAGATGGTGTAGCAAGTGCAACGACCGTTGATTAAAAAGACGGCGCGAAACCGCTCGCATGGCGGAGCGATGCTTCTGGAGCGCCCGGCCCAATGCCTCCAGCGCGTGCGAGAAGACGACGTGGGACACGTGTGGGTACGCGAGCCTTTTGCTGACGCCGATCGTCCTCCTCTGCGTCTACTGGCTCGCGTTTGGTGTCTACATGCTTCGGAAGGACGACTCGACCACCAAGCTCTTGACGTTCGACGTTGCCCGCATCCACGACCCGGTCGCTCAAGGTTGTTGTTGTCTCTATCTTGTTGAGCTCACTCACGGGGACAGGCATTGCAATTGCGCTCGCGCAGCGCCGGCACACGACCGAGAAGCCATCGCACTTTCAGCACAACATGAAACTCTGCGCGATGTGGGCCGAGTGGCCCTCGCTCTCGTACGCGCCGCTCTCGGTCGCGCTCAAGGTCATCAGCGCCGACGAGCCGATCAACTCGGTCGTTTTCTCGCTCAACGTCACCAACGAAGTCGCTTCCGAATACATGATTCCTTGGTTGTCCTCATTTTCCTTGTAGACCGCCAACGTTGCGATTGCTTGCTCGTGCGCCGTGCTCGTGAGTAGTCTCTGGCTCTACAAGACGTGGCGGCGTACAGGTACTTAATCGTTGTTGTCGACAAGCTGTCTTATGGGCGGCGCTAGACGACCGGCTCTTGCGGCGGTTTGCGTATCCCATCACGTTTGACGTGCTCTACATTCCGCTCGCTTCGACGTTTCTGCGCATGGCAGTCTGTCCGCTGGGCCACGATCGTGTCGCTCTACCGGACGGGTCGACGTGCGACTGCCTCGATCGCTACGGATTTTTTTGGGTACTCCGTCCTTATGGCGAAACGATAGACAAGACAATATTGTCCACGCAGGCATTCGGGTCGATCGGTTTTGTGTCCATCTACTCGTGCGCTATCTACTACAAGATGTTTATCGAGCCGACAGGGTCGACGATGGACTTTCGCTTTGAGACAAGCTTCCAGATCATCATGGTCATGGCGCGGACCCGTACGCAACTTTTTCTATCAAGAGTTTCACCTTTGTCTAGTCAACCCGCTCCTTTCGATGCTGGCCAACAGCGTCGGGCTGACGCACCACGCAGCGCGCGCTGTGCCATTGACGCTCGCGTTTCTCGCATCGCTCTCGTTTCTGCTGCTCGCAGCGTACAAGACGCAGCCGGTACCGCGACGCCAATGCGATAATTTGGAGCGCTGAATGATCTCTACTAGTGCATTGGGAGCGGCCGCCTTCCCAACAACATACGCGTGCTTTCGTTCTCGAGCTCGCTCTACACAACGCTGTGCGTGCTCGGCTTTCTTGTGGCGGGCGGCCCCCCACAAAACCTGCACTACTCGCTCGCGCTGCTGCCGCTCATCTGGGTCACGGCGTGGGTCGTCAATGGTCGACGCGCTGCCAAGTTTCACATCCCGAGTCTCACTATTGTCGAGTTGCTGCACGACAGCACGCTCCAAGCCAAGACGGTGGGCGCTATCGCAGCGCTCCATGTGAACCCCCTCAACATTCGCTCGAAAGACTATGAAGCCATTATCGCCATGGCACACAAAACAGTGAAAATCGCGCGCCTTCGTGAGCTCCACTGCCGCCTCTACTGCGCGCGCCTTTTGTGGTTTTGTCACATTGAGGTGCCTGCAGGCTCCACAAAAAACCGAAAAATTTACGTGAAAGTAGAGCTATCGCCGGGCGGGGACCCGCGTCGGGGAACCCAAGCCCGAGCTAGCACTCGTGCCCGGTCTCTGGTTCAAAGATGCGGCCAATGAAGTGCGCGTATCATCTCGGAAACTTCTCAAGGCCAAGACGCGCAACGTGTCGACGCAGCTCTCCAAAGTCAAGATTCGGCACATTGAGCATGTCACCGGTGCCATCGCAGACAACTTGTCGGCTTGGACTCATGACCGTGGGTAGATCCAACGGCATCGACAACACATATCGACAAGCCTACCGAGCGTCGGGCCCGCCCGCCGTCACTCTACCAGTCGGTCAAGCGCCTCCTCACGGTCACGTCACCGATCTCGGGGCGCGCCACGCCATACCGTCGCAGCATCGTCAGCATCCCGTCGGTCGTCGATAGCAACGGGTACTACGTCGTCGCCATCCGCGATAAAAACTGGATCGCCAAGCTCGAGGCGCCCGACCCCGCTCTTCAGCAATTCGACGCCCTCTACCGCGCCATGCTGGAGATGCTCGAGCAAAGCTGTACGCTGGACGACCATACAGCGATGTTTGAAGCCGCGTCCTTTCTGCTGCAATGGTACCGGTCGAGTTACTTGCATCTCAACAAAACCATCTACTTGCACATCGTCGCGACGTTCTGCGCGCTTCCGGACATCGCGAGCGCCGCGGATGCCACGTACACGCTGCATCAACTCACGGTCGAGCTACGGACACTCCCGGCCGACCTCTGGCTGTCCAATGCATCGGACTTGAACCGATTTGTGCAAGCTCTTGGCCACCCGAGTGCGAACACCGTCGCCTACTGCGCGGAAGTGCTCGCGCACCTCTTGGCCGCGGCCGAGACCAAGCCGTCGGTCAACTTGTACGTGCTCTTGATGCCGAGCTCGATCGCGAGGCTCCACGCGGCCTTTTCAAGTTGGCACCGCAATTACCGCATCAGCGATTGTCTCGAGCGCGCGTGCACGAGCCTCTACTGCCTTCAACTTCGCTCGAATCTCGGAAAGCGCAACTCGATTGGGATGCGGCAGCAGTCGACCGCCAAGATGTTTGTGGCGCTCGTAACGCAGATCACGTCGGTCGTCGCTCGCCCGATCGTTGAGAGCGTGCGTCGGCGGAGCTCCGGGCGGGCGCTGACCTTGCCGACGAGCACGGGCCGGCGCATCTCGGCCAATGTGTACGGTGCTGCGCGCGACGCGGCGGGAAAAGGTATTTTGCTCAATGGGTTTGTCCAGCCGACGGGTCTATCGCGGATGCCGTCCTTGTCGCACGGCGCGCAAGAGGCGGCCGTGCCGCCACCAGCCCAGCCCAAGGCCAAGCCCATGACATCACAAGCGCTCTTGGCCCAGTTTGTCGCAACGTCGACGCCGGCCAGACTCGCTCGCAGCCGCACAATGCGAGAGAGCACCAAGCCACGCACCGCGAAGAAGGCGTCGCCCGACCACTTTACCTTTGTGACGCCCGAGATGCTGGCCGAGATTCAACGTCGACGGACGCTGCGTCAGCAAATGCTCGAGCTCCTCGAAGCAACGTATGCGCGCTTCCAGACCACCGCGTCTCGGACAACAACAGAGAAAGGCCGGCACAACGCAAGTGCGATCGACGTCATGATCACGTACACCAAGGTGCTGCAGATGTACGTCGAGGCCGAGGACTGCGCGATGGCCGACTACGTTGCGACCGCGCTTGATCCATCGCTGCGAACGTTTTTTCACACCAACGTGCAGCCATTCATGAGCACGTACCTCGCACGTATTCGCGCCTCACAGCGGTTGCGCGCGTGGTGGCGACGCACGTCCAACCGAAGGTAGTTGGAGGCCACTGATAACCTTTTTTGTCTTTTTCGAGTTTTTTCAAATTGTATTCCATCACTGCCGAAGTAGTGGCAATGGATGAGTCCGTGGACGTGGGCAAGAAACCAGTTGATGAGCGTCGAACTCGACCACGACGGCAGCCAAAATGTTGTACCCTTCGATGCTGTGAACTGCAATATATATTGCAATATATATTGCAATACATATTGTTTTAACGCATCCATCAATATATTGCAATATATACGAGCGAAGAGCCGCGGATCCAAGCAGTTGCAAGAAAGGTCGCGCATGCACCCAAGCCGCAGCAGCGGGTCGGTCCCCGCCACGTCGCCAGCGCGGTCGGAGTCGTCGCCCAAGAAGAAAAAGGTGTTTACGGTCGCGCGGCCGTTCCCATCGCCGCTTGACTTTGTCCCGACCCACGATGCGTCTGCGGTCGACGAGCGCAAGGCCGCGCTCAAGGCCCAAGTCCGGCGCGATTGCCAAGGCAAAGTCAAATTGCACTCGGCGCTCGGGACGCAGGACGATGTCGAACACTTTAGCGAGTACCTCACCGCGCCGATCCAAGGCGGCGCCAAGGGCATCCGGTCCGGGCTCAAGCGTATAGGGAGCAACACGGGCTTGGGGCGAGGGCCCAGCGCCAAGAGCCTACTCGGGAACGAGACGTCGCGGTCGCGCGCGTCCACCGACACGAGCAACTACAACAACAACAACAACAACAACAATGCGAGCTGGTCGTCGCTGCCAGCGACAACCCTCATGTCCCCGACCGAGAGCTCGCCGGCAGCGACAGTCCAGCGAACGCAGCTCATCGAGTACAAGAAGAAGCTGCGGCAAATGCCCATCCACGAACGCATCGCGATGGCGCGCGAGAAGAACGTGCTTTTGATTTGGGAAAAGCGCAACCGGTAGAGAGTTGTGCAATTTGGGCGATCGTTCACTCGGATGTAGCGAGTGGGAGCAATTCAAAACCAAAATTTCTCAAAAGCTCCACAAGGCCCAAGACGACCTCGTCATGAGCAAGGCCGGCGAGTACCGCCAGCAAATGGAGGAGTACGACCTTATCAACAAGGCGACACCCCAAGTCGAGAAGCACGGCAAGTACGGACCTTGGTCATTCGCGAGAGGCAAACCACATGCAATGATGTAGCGACTACTGGACGGTGAGCTTGCGCGATGAAGGCACGCGGTTCGTGCCGGTCGGGAACGTCTTTAGCGGTCTCTTCTGCCCTATCAAGGAAGACAAGAAGCCATACTCGGAGACCATTCGCCGGTAACTTGAGCGCCTCCACGATGCTTTGATGATGATATTTGTCAGACCCTTTGACCACCATCGCAACGAGCAAACCGCGAGGAAGGCCAACGACCCGCTCGCCCTCCGGAAGCGTCAGCTCCGAAAGAACATCCAAGCCATTCGCCCGCACGTGATTGACAGTCACCATTGGTACACCGACACATGTACCAAGCGCATCCGGTGACAAGAGAAATCTGTAGTCAAGGGCTCAAGGTCGAGTCCCGTGACCTCTTGGAGTGGGCGTCGTCGTCGTCGCAGCACTACTACGATGCGCTACTCAGTCTTGAGCGCAGCCAGCCGGCGTCCGTCGCGACGTTATATCAGGAGACACCGAACCTCTCGCGCGCCAACTCGCAGCTCGCACGCGTGCCAACCGGCCGCGCGCCGTTGACCCACCGTATTGACGGCCCGTGCATTCAATTTCTGAGTCATCTTGCGGGCGACCCGATCCCAGACGAGGTAGCACTCGCGTTCCACACACCGATTCGTGCAGTGCAGTCGCTGCCCGTGTACATTGCCAACCCGAGCACGTACACGGTGCAGTTTCGCTGGGCGCAGTATGGACCGTCGCACCGCGACTTTGCCCCGAAAGCCGCGGGTCTCTCGCCGCGTACCTTTGTGTCGCACGCCCAAGGTACTATTCCTCGATCCGGAACAGTCTGTCATGACAACATCAGGGTTTCTCTTGCCGGGCGAGGTCCGGACCTTGCATTTTGGCTTTGCATCGGCCGTGCCCGGCGTCTTTCTCGAGCGATGGAAGATCAGCATTGACCCGTCGCTGCCCGACAACAACACGGTCTTGTACGCTTCGGAGCATGCCGTGCACCTCACCTGCGTCGCCATCGATAACCGCGCGCCGGTCCACACGCGCGCGCTAATGGAGATCGCCATGAACCAGCGCGCCGTGCCCTACATGGTGGAGACGCTACTCCGCGAGCTCCTTGGCCAAATCGAGTATCCGAATAAGATCCAAGTCGACTACGATGCCGAGGCGACGCGCGCAGCGTTTGAGGCCACGAACGCCCGCTTCTGTGCCCACTACGACCCCGAGGTACATACGATTATATTTGATACATTGCTATATTGATACTAAATGGAGTCGTAGCTCTATGGCCAAATGCACCTGCTCTACGAGCGCGCGCAAAATCTTGTGGTCGCCGATGCCCAAGCCAAACTACTGACGCCGGCGAACGATGCCACGTCGCCTCGAACAACGATGGCGCCGCCGTTGGACCCGATGGCGTGGGACGGAGCGTTCCCAATGCTGCGGGCGATGGCCAAGGCTGCCGATGTCATTTCGGAAGCAGCTGCGATCGCGATTGTGGCCGAAGAAGCTGCGCGCAAGGCGGCGTCCGGTGAAGACGACGACGACGACGACGATGACGAGAACAAGCCTTCGACGCCCGTGTACAAGCCAGTGTTTCAAATCACGTGCTGTGAGCTCGAGTTGCTCTCGCAGTTTCGACCGCACGACGGCGTCTTCTTGCAGGCGCAGCTGACCGACCACTTTGCGGGGCTTTGTAGTGAGATCCCGGTCGTGAGCTCCATTCTCCAGCATGATCAGTCAGGAGATGCTTTTTATGACGAATTGTACTCTCAAGGGCGCGCGTTCCTGGCCCAAGCCGTCGATGAGAGCGTCGCCGCCACAATGGCCCAGGAAATTGACCAAATCGCATCCGCGCTGCAGCGTGACAAGCTCTGGCTAACGTCGGTCGCGACGACATATCCGGCACCGAGCCCCTGTGACGACCGCACTGTCTTGTTGTACGTCGACTTGGACGTGGCGCACTGCTTTACGGTTCGCGCGCGGGAGCCCAGTGCGGGGGACGAGACCGAGGTCGGCACTGAGTGGGGCTGGATCGACGGCATCGACACTTTCATCCCCAAGAAAATTGATGCCGTTGCCGCGTGGCTCACGACACTCTGCGCGCAGCACGAAGCCGCGTACGACGCGACAAGCAATGTCACGGTGACGTTTGTGCTCGTGAGTCGCATGAGCCACGCGCGGGCGACCAAAGAAAAAAAGGTCAAAAAAGCGAAACGCAAGCCGCCGCTCCCGCCGCCCGACGACCCGATCCCGTCCATGGCGCCCGTCGCGCAAAAGCTCCAGGAAACCATCGGACGGCCCGTCGAGTACCTCTGCCATGTCGAGAGTTTGCACGAGCGACTGCACAAACCTCCACTGTCCTTGTCGCCCACGCCCGCCAATCCGTCTGTGACGCCAAGCGGTAGCCCTACCCCTGGCACCGAGCCAATGACACCCCCCGAGGTGTCGATGCCGCCGTCGCTCCAGCTCAACATAATTCTCATGGAGCACATGGAGGCGCTCTTCCATCCGCCACCGCGGGTAGACCCGATCGTTGTCGACGACGCCAAAGTGTTGAAGGACGACCCGAAAGCCAAAGCGCCGGCCAAAAAAGGCAAGGGCAAAGACGACGACGAGAAGAAACCGGCGCCGGTGGTTGCGTCGCCTAGTGTTCTCTCGGTGCGCGAGGCCCCGGTGTACGCGTCGGACGACGCCAAGATGACCGCTGTGTACAATGGCACGTACGCCGATGTGGTCTCGGAAGGGTTTCGATCGCTCATTGATGTGACCGCGCTCGACTCGTTTGGCGGCGACGACTGGAAGAGTATCGTAGCGCTGCCCGCGACACCGTTTGTCGGTCCAGCGCTCGCGACTGAGATGCGGCGTCTCGCACCGCTCTTGCAACCGTTCGGCTCCTTCCCCAACCGCGTGCGGCCCGACGGCAGTCGCCTCGTCGTTGTGCTCGGCGGCAAATCGCTCGTCTCCAAGTTGTGGCTCTTGGATTACCTGCTCGAGATTGCCGACGCCATCTACTTGACGGGCGGCGTTGCGGTGAGTGTCGTGCGATTTCTCAATGCGTCCAAGGCTGCCCAAAAGACACTGTCGCTGCCCAACGAGCCGGGCTTGACGCTGCGTGTGCTCGATCGCGTGCGCAGCAAAGCCCGGCGCCTCCTCGTGCCGCTGCTGGTGCCTATGGATTTTCTCGTCGGGGACGGTCCCATCGAGCCAGAGGCAGACAACGAAGAGGCACCCAGCGACGATGCGCCAGGCCATACCACGGCACGTGGTGATGACGACGACGACGACGCCGACGACGCCGATGAAGACGACGACGACGAGGAAGACGAGGAGGACGAAGACGACGTACCGAAAAAGAAGAAGAAGACGAAAGTTCCCGCGCCCGTGGTCGTTCCCGGTAGGCTTGGTGTCGTATTGCAGTAGCAGCTCATGGGAGGTAGAAGTGGTCCTTGTCAACGAGCCGGACGAGGTTTGCGACCTTCGCCCGACATTGCCGTTTGAAGGCACGACTTTGCACTTGCGACACCAAGATTTGGACGAGGAAGACGCGACGGGGTGGCTGCCGCTCGAAAACATCACGCCCGACATGCTCGCCTCGGCGTATCAAGCGGTGTTGGCCAACGACGGCACGCCGCTGCCGTTGCCCCCGACGTGGATCCAGCGCGTCTACGATGTGGGCCCCCGCTCGGTCGCGAGTTTACTCGGTCGGCTCCGTGCCCCCCACGACCCTGTCATTGTCGCAGGTCTGCCAGGTATCGTCGAGTGCCGCGACTTTCAGCAGAGTACGTCCGCGCTGCTGTCGGTCTTGCGGCCCAAGAAGGAGCGAGTCATTGTTTCGGGCAGCACCACGGCGCATTGGTTGCAGCAGCTCGACACGGACGAGACAGGTGCCAAGCTCATAACGTCGGCGTCGGCGCGTAGCCGGAACGTCCTTTCCTACTACGTGGCCGGTCAGCGCCACCCGGCCCTGGCCGCGCTGCAACCCAAGGTCTAAGTCAAACTAGCTCCAGAACAGAGCGAGACGACAATGTGTACACAAAATTGCATCCAATGAAACAAGACTTAGTGCGGGTGGTTGCAGTTGCCGCACTTGGTTGAAAACTTTTGCGGTCGAAAGCGGTCGCAGGGACAGCCAAACATGGAGCACTCGCGGTGGAGCTTGACCTCTTGCTCTTGCCGATAGTCGACGCAGCTCTGCATCGCAGCGTCAATGGCTTCGTACAGTCGACCGGCTGCGCGGGGCGGGGGCACGACCCCCGATAAGATCTCAGCGGGCTGGATGTGCCGACCATAAAAGTCGCGGTTCGCGTCCGACCGGCAGTTGATGACGGCGCCATGCAGCGAGATGCCGGCGAAGAGCCCTTTCGAGTGCGAGTAGCTGTAGTTGGCGCCGAGACCGTTGCCCTTGGCCATGGACGCAATGACGGTCGCGGACCGTCCGTACGGCCCCATCGTCACGTCCAAGCCGGCGCCAATCGTGATCTGCGTATCGTGGAACTGCTGGACGGCTTTCGGGGTGCCCAGAATCAGCAATATCTGGACGACTTCGCCGCCGCCCTCAAAGCCGCCACCAAGGCCGGTCGTCCCGATGGCGGCGGGCGCCGACCACGCGCCGTTCGGGAGCTTTGTGATGACGAGGCCTGACCCGAGCTTGGCGGTGATGAGCAACCCGGCCTTGACAACCGTGAGGAACGCGAGACCGTGGGCACGTTCCAGGAACGCGACGGGAATGCGCCGGTCGAGGTTTGTCGGGTCGAAGAACTGGCGCAGAATCTTGCCGGCATTTTCACACTCGTCTTCGATCGACTGTTTGATCGGGACCGACTGAAACCATTTCTTGGACTTGGGCGCTTCGCTCGCCTTGTTGGCGTTGGCGAATGCCGTAATGAGCTTCTCTTGGAGTGGCTGCAGCATCGGCCCACAGGCTGTGCAGACGCGTTGGGGCGCCGCCGGGTCAAAGCCTTTGGCCGACGCGTGCTCGTGGCCCGGCGGAATGAGCATCCGCGTCGCCGAGCAGCTCGAGCACGTGTCGCGCCCGCACTTGCGGCACTGGCGTTTCCGGTGCATGAGGTCAAACGTCTGCGCGCAGATGTGGCACGACGGCTTGTCGGAGCGCGGCCTCGTCTCCTTGACGGACGGCGCCGTGTACGTGGACGCCGGCGTCGTCGAGAGCGAAGACGACGACAGTGTCGACGCCGACGACGATGAGCCGCCGCCTTTCGGGCGGTTGGCCGCGAGGTACACGTACGCATTCATAAGGTCGGCGCGCTTGGTGTCGTCGGGAATGAGACGCACGAGCTGCGGCATCATCGACTCCATCATGTACTCTCCAAAGTAGCCATAGACGTTGGTCGTGAACGCCTCGGCGGTGAGGCGGCCTTGGCCGTAGTGCTTACAGTCGCGCTTGAAAGCCTTTACAGCACCTTCTTCGTTCTCGCCGCGATGCGCCGCGCGGACGGTCGCAATGATGCGCTTGTAGAGCGACGTGGCTTCGTCACCGAGGGCAGCGGGCGGCAGCGATGGCGTAGCAGGCGTCAGCGAAGGTGCTGGCGCGTAATAGGAAGATGACGACGCTGCTGGCGGTGGCGCATAGTACGACGATGGGTCTGCCACTGGCGCGGGTGCGTGGTACGATGGCTGCGGCTCGGCCGCCGGGGCGTAGTAAGACGTCGCCGCCGGCGCGTATGCTTGGGGCTGCGGCGCCGGCGCCAGGTGAATGTCTCGCTGCGACGGCCCCGAGTCGGCGCCGCACTCGGAGCAGAACCGGCGGCCGTGCAGCGGCGTCCCGCACTGTCGGCAAAACTTGGCCATTTTTGACTGCGCTGCTGGGATAGTCGCAGTAATACTCCAGGGTAAAATTTATCCGGATAAGGATTCGACCGTTTTTGCGACGCGAGATCCCACCATGAAGGTAGCGGCCGGAAGCGACCGATGCTGCATGATGCGACGTGGTAGAGTCTCTTCTCGTTCGGGTCGGCGGTCGACGTCTCCGTGGTCTTTGACGGTGCGAGCAGCCGGCCCACCGACGGCGACCTCCAGATCTTCTCGCCCGACGAGGCCGTCTCGGGCCGCGTGCTCATCGCGGCCAAGAAGCTCGAGCACGTGGGCATCAAGGCCGAGCTTCTCGGCGTCATCGAGATGACGCAGGAGAAAGGGTACCCGTTTGAATTTACGTCGTCCGTGCGCGAGCTCGCGCCGGCCGGCGCCATCGACGAAGCCCAGGTACGTTGCGACGACCACGATATCCCTCGGGTTGCACGCCAAATGCGTAGGAATTTGGCTTTAGCTTTGGCAATGTCGACAAGCCGCACGAGTCGTACTACGGCAAGAGCGTCAAGCTGCGCTACTTTGTGCGCGTGACTATTGCGCGCAGCTACGCGACCAACGTGAGTCGCGAGCAGGACTTTCTCGTGCACGTCCGTGGCACCGCGCCCGAGCTGGACAGCGCCATCAAGATGGAGGTCGGGATTGAAGACTGCCTTCACATTGAGTTTGAGTACAACAAGGCCAAGTACGCTCTTGTATCTTGATGCAGCTGAACGGACAGGATGTAGGTACCACCTCCAGGACATTGTTGTCGGCAAAGTCTTCTTCCTCCTCGTGCGCATCAAGATCAAGCACATGGAGCTCTCCATCATTCGGCGCGAGTCCGCGGGCGGCGGCGCCGACAAGGCGAGTGAGACCGAGACCGTCTCCAAATTTGAAATCATGGATGGGGCGCCGGTCAAAGGCACGCTTCTATCCCTTCTCATTTGACAAATTGGTTCAAGCCAACTGGCTATGTCTAGGCGAGTCGATCCCCGTGCGTTTGTACCTCAGTGGGATGCAGCTCACGCCCAGCTTCAAGAACGTCAGCAACAAATTCTCGGTCAAGTACTTTATCAACCTCGTCCTCGTCGACGAAGAAGACCGGCGCTACTTCAAGCAGCAAGAAATCACGCTCTGGCGCAGCTTGTAGCTTAATGTCTGCATATACGATACGCACTGTTGAGAGCTACTGCGTATTCGATGCAACCATCCTATACAGACACCAAACGACGTCGAGGCTAAGGGAGCTACCGTCAGTGAGCTCGAGTCGTCAAGAGACGGTCAACGAGCATCCTCGCAGAGATCCACGTGAGATGCAATGGCTTGCTCAGACAATTCCTTCAGATGCATCGACCATAGAGCCCTTATAGGACCCCACCCAACTAGCTGTAGCCTCTTTCCACAAGAAAAAAAAGGCGGCACTTCGATCCTCGCCGCCCGTTACTTTTTCTTATTGCGAAACCGGCACGAAATGCGCGCGCTGGCCAAGATCCCGTGGCCAGCACCCGAGCCCGTGGACTTGCTCGCCGAGTTTGGTGCGACACTCGTGGGCGACGTCCCGGCCCGCCCCGCGCCGGCCTCCACATTGCACTTTGAGAGCAAGCTGCGGCGCCTCCAGGGTACCATTCTACCTCGTCCTCTTTTGAAAAAACTCAGCTAACGGCGCTAGCGGCCTCGCCGTACACGCGACCGGTGGTCGCTCGCGAGGTCAAAGAACCGTTGACACCTGCGCAAATCGCCGCGAGGCGCGTGCGGAACTTTGCCCGCGAGCACTTGGCGATCGACTTTATCGCGTCCAACCAAAAAGATGCCAACGCGCAGCAAACGCTGGGGACGCAAGGCGCAGGGTCCGAAGGACACTCTGTCAATGTAGACTTTGACCTGCAAGCCTGGCTTTGCGACGCTAACGCGTGCGCAGTTGACCCGCAAAGTGCACTACTGCACGCGACCGGTGTCGTTGCACCGATACCGCCCGTCACTTCAACAACGACGTCGCCAGCTCGCCATGTACCTTTCTCGCCAAAGCACAAGCGGGCAAGTCCGCGGCGGTCGCCATCACCACCGCCCAAAGCCAAGCTCCCAAAGCCATCGCGCGAGCCAGACGAGGACAACGACGAGAGCGCGGTTGACGATATCCAAGACGTCGAGTACATACCGCCGTATGATCATTTGAAGCCGCAAGACGTGTACGACGCATGATGCATGTGCTGTTGTGCCAAGCTTCTCTGGAGTAGAGCCACCATGCAGCACAGACCAGCGAGCACGTCGCCAACGCGAGAGCTCCGCCGCGCCAAGTCGTTTCACATTGCCAAGTGGCTCACCAAACGCATGCGAGACCGGGCGTACTCGAAAGAAATGGAAGACCGACTCGCGGCGACGCTGACAGCCAACGTTGGCGGCGGCCTCTGGCAAGACCAAGTCGCGTCCCAACTCGCAACGGCCATGAGTGCCGACGTCGTCTACGGCGACGGCAGCGACGGCAACGCCCGACCGTTCGCTGACGACGCCGCATCACTTGCGGCCGTGCTTGAGCGCGAGTGGATTGACACGAAAGCGCGGGATGTCCACGACCGAGCGACCACCGAGTATGCGCAAGGCCATGTGCCCGAAGCGCTCTCGATCCTGTCGGCTGGCGTCGCGCTCCTGCAGGCGACGACTGCGGCCACCACACACAAGTCGTCTTGGGGCTTCAACTATACGCTCGAGGTGCATGCCAATGCAAGCCTTCTTCAAGTACTGTCATTGTGCAACAACCATGGCACAAGGAGCGAAATGTGGTAGATGTGGTATCGTCGCCGGTACCTGCGCCGGGCCGGCGCGGCCTTGCGACTGCAAACGGCGTGGCGAGGCTTTCATGGCCGACGACGCTTTCAGCGCCGCCTGTGGCGCCGGCAGGCGAGTGCGCTGTACATTCAAAAATGGTGGCATGTGCACACCGCCGACAAGGAGGCGATGCGCCTCCGCCTACAGGTACATACATACACAGCCCTTGTATTCGGCTCTGAGAGCGCAATAGACGGCAGCCCGGCGAAAGCTCGCACGGCTCCAAGTGCGGCGCATGCGCAAGGCCAACACGATCCTGCGGGCGAGCATCCATGCCTGGCTACTCCGCGCCCTCGCACGCCTGCGTCTTCGTCGCGCGGTCCGCGCGGCAACCGCCATGCAACGTCTCGTTCGCGGCTTCCTCGCGCGGCGAGCGGTCCTGCGCCTGCGCGACCGCATTCTCCGCGAGGAAGTCGCGCGCTGCAGCCGCGAAGCTGACTACATCCGCCGGTTCACGGCGATCCGGCTCGAAGATTTCACATTGTTCCTGCATCACTCGGTATCCGGAATAACATCCTGTGTCCGGTTGCGACATAGCGTGTCGCCTAGGGACAGCGCCACGTACGCCTCCTCGCACAGCGCCTCAAGGACGAGGCCGCGGCGCGGAAGCGAGCGCGCGCGCATTGGCCTCCTGCCGCCATGCGGCGTGCGGCGCTCGAAGACCTCTTTGCCTCGTACGACGTCGATGGCTCAGGCACGATCGACGTCCACGAGCTCAAGCATCTCTTCGACGAGCTCTGCATCCCGCTGGACAAGGCGTCGCTCGAGCAGGCGATTCGCGTCATGGACACGTCTTGCAATGGCAGCGTGGACGTTCATGAGTTTTGCGCGTACCTCGAGGCGCCGCCCCAAGGCGCGTCCAACACTGGTCTCTGGCAGCTGCACGCGCAACTGCAGCTGCAGCGCGTCGCCAACTGGTTCACATCTGCCACGTTCAAGAACGAAGCGACGCGCCGCCTCTTGTACGACGAGACCCAGCGCCAAGAGAGGCTTCTCCTCGCTGAGTTTCGCGCGACAGACCCGCCGCGCTTTGCCTGCCCCTACTGCGGCGCAGCCTTTGGCCTGTACTTGCCCTTTTGGCGCCATACGAAGCAGCGACAGTGTCCCGCCACGTCCCATGACCGGCTCCACGCGGCGGATATAACCGAGGACGAAGACGATTTCGCAGCGATCGAGCAGGCACTAGTCGACGCACGGCTTGTCGAGGTCGAGCGCGACGTCGCTCTGTACATGGCAACAGCGCCTGGAAAGGCCGACCTCGCCGCCGACGCTACGCGCCTTCAGACGCGCTACCTCGCGCTTCGTCAACGTCGACGGTGTCGGCAACTAGCGCACGACAGTGATGCCGTTCGAGAGCTCTACCACAGCTACGACATGGGCGAAACCAACGCACTCTCCGCGTACGTACGCAGTGTTACCAGGAAGGGACAGGGACCCCGTCAGTAGGTTGCTGGTGCCAGAACTGCTAGCCGATGTGGGCCTCGGCCACGCGGAGCTCGCCGTGCATTTTGCCTCGGCGCACGACGTGACACTGGACGAGATGTGCAAAGCTGTACGACGCGCCTTTGTCTCGCTCTCGTGGCGGACGAGGCTGCAGCAGCTGCTCCCGTCCTTTCTCTTTGCGGCGTCGCGGCGGCAGCGCCGGCTTCGCCAAGCCGCCACCTGCCTTCTTTTGCGGGAGAAGGCGCTCGCTGAAACTAGCGTCCGCGCGGCCTTTCGGTCGGCGCACCCTCCCCTGGTCGTCTGTGCAGCGTGCAACACAGGTGTGCTCGCCCTGTCGCTACTGCAATTGTCTAAGGTGTCGTAGGCTTGTGGCATGACGCGCGGGGTCACTTGCATCTCCACGGTACTTGCCAATGCATGGCGCGATGTTAATGACGCTGTGTAGATGACCGCTTTCACGAGCGCGACGTGTCCTACCGGCACCGCCGGGACGCTCGCATCAACTTGACAGCGACCACGACAAGCCGCTTGGCACAGCTCGCGCAACTGTCGCAGGACGCGGCGCGCACGCAAGCCATGCGAAAGGCCATGCGATTTTGCAAGCGCAAGGAAGGGCGGCGCGCGATCCACGCAGTGACCAAGCACCTCTGCACGCAGCTCGAGCGACTACCCAAAAGCGCCATGAGCGAGCCGCGCCGGCTTCTCGATGTCATTTTTCCGCTCGTTGACGTCGACCGAACGGGCTCGATAGCTGTCGTGAGTGTCAAGCCAGTCCTGGCATTCTTGCAGTACAGCACGAAAGCCGTGCCGACGCTGCAGCCCACCGAGCGGGTCCCTCGCTCTACCGTCGAGCTATGGCTACATACGCTGCCGCCGCCCAAGGCATCCGCGTTGGCCTCACTATGGCGCCACCGACGCGCGACCGCTCTCGCGACCCACGTGGTGGCAAGCACGTATCTGCAGTCGGGTGCGACTCTGGACGTCGTACCGCATCGCCACGCAAGCGCCTACATCAAGACACCCATCGGGCGACAAGCGATGGCCGACGAAGAAGCACTCTTGTGCGCGCTGCAAAAAGCCACATCGTCCGACCCAACTGCGCTTGTCCTGCAGCGGTTCGACTTGGATCGCTCGCAACGTATTCGTGTCGACGATCTAGCCGCCATACTCTACGTCCTCGGTGCCGCCAAAGCCAAAGCAGCTCGTACGGTCTTTATGATCCTCTCGGCGGTGCCGCCGATCGACCATCACGTGCCCGTCGACGCGCTTCGGGCGTGGTTGAACGCACACCCCATTCGACACGTAGTGGGGCATCACTGGCGAGCGCGATGCGTGCGCGCTCGCCTCGCCCGCGCCGTCGTCATGGCTCGGTATGAAGGCAGCGTGGCGCCGGTGGCACCCGACCACATCTCGCGCAAGCAGCTTCTCGTCGCCAAGTCGGAGCAGTTTAGCCACAGCACCGTTGGGCGCGACGCCGTGCGCGCCAAAGTCTTGGAGCTCCAACAACTGGAAAAGGCTTTTGTGGCGTCGACCAACGGTGTGCGAGGCCACGCATGGCGCCGGGCACGGGCGAGCTTCCTCTTTCGGCTCTTTGAACGAGGCCACGTTGGCGCCATCGAGCTCGTCGACGTCCCGTGCGTGTTGCACCACCTCTGCCACCCGCTGCACAATGATCCCGACCTCATGACGCGCATGTGTCGATTCCTCAACTTGGAGGCGACGAGCACAAATACGATCTCGGAGGCGGCCTTTCATCAGTGGCTCGACACGGACGCTGGCCGAGCCCCCGCGCGGCGATTGCTTCTCGCATGGCCGCCATCGACAAGGGCCCTCGCTACTGCAGTCGTTTGCTTTGAGCATCGCAGTGACCTTGGTCAGCGTCATGAAGAGAATGAGGGACTACCGCTGCACCTCGTGGGCAAGGCGGATGCCTACTGCGCCAGCGTTGCAGGGCAGCACGCGATCGACGAGGAAGAGACGCACGTTCAAGCGCAGCTGGGTCAACATCGGCGAAAGGCACGCCGTCTTGCGGCCCACGAGCACAAGGTGGCGTACGCCGCACTGCTCTTTCAACTTGTGGACGTGAGCCACACGGGCCGTCTCGCGACCGACGCGCTCTCAACACTGCTCGGCCTCTTGCAGCTGCCCAACGACATGCCGTATGCACGCTCCATCACACGCGCCCTTGGCAACGTGACCGGCACCGTCGACGAGTCTGCGTTCGTATCATGGTACCGCGATACGCTGGCTCAACAGCCGCTGCGGACGCGTCTCTGGGCTGCCCTACGGCGGTCGCCCTTGCGCGCGATTGCCACGGCTGTCGTCGCCGCGCGCTACCGCCACTCGCTCCAGGAGCAAGACGCTACGACGAGTTGGGTTTAGCCATCGTATGCCAGCATATCGAAAGAAGAAGCCACATCTCCGACGTATCTGCATTCAATGGCTTCTTCGGTGCAGAAAGGCCAGGTGGTTCGAATTCGAGCGTGGGATGCGATGCTGGAAGCATGCGCCGATGCTCGTCGGGCTCAGTCGACGGGCTAGCGCTGGGAGCCACGCCCATCGCGCTCGCGACCTGCGCCTCTACCGATACCAACGGCCGCTCCAGTCCCGAAATGATTGCCGGTGCTGCCACGTACTGTATATCGTGTTCCGGCAAGCAACTGACCTTGGGCGGGAATGTTCCGTGAGTAATCTCGGCCCGCCGGCCTCATGGGGTCGCTGCAGCTTGCTATCAACAGTGCTATTTGTTTCTATTGAGTATTTCATCGCTGTCTCATGGCGACGCCGACCATCTCGGACGACGGGTGCTTCTCGGTCGGCAGCAGCAGCGTGCCGATGATGAACTTTTGGTCGCCCCGCTCGTCGGCCTCGAGCGGCATTGACTACGTGGACGACGAGCCAGCTTCGAGTCCGACCGATTCGACGTACGAAGACGACGACGACGAGGCGCCACGGACCGACGGCGTACTGCACCATGGCTGGCTCTTCAAGCGCGGCCAAGGCGGCTTCTTCCACCGCGCGTCATGGAAGGCGCGGTTCTGCGTCGTCACGAGCGCGAGCTTGCGCTACTACTCGCGCGAGAACGAAGCCAAGAAGGGCGAGCTCGACTTGACGGGCTGTACGCACAAGAGCATCGAGGTGCTGCCGCGAAAAGCGCTACGCAGTTCGCACCCGACGCTATGGCGCTTTGCCGTGCTCACGCCCAAGCGGCGCATGGTCTTCTCTGCGTCCAGTGAGACGGAAATGAACGACTGGATCCGCTCGATTCACATGGCCATGGCGCTGCAGAAGAACAACCTCCGGGTCGTCCAGCAAGTGCAGTTGGCCGACCGCCGCACCGCGCCGCTCATGTACTACTCGCAGCGGGACGGCTTGCGCCCGACCTGCGCGAGCGCGAGGGGCTACAGCAGCATGGGCCGGCCGCCCCGGCGAGACCCCGAGGTCGAGTTCTGAGCCTCCTCCTCCTCCTTGTACGTAAATTAATTTGTTCAATATGGACGGTATCCAATATGCGTTTTTTAGTATTACCTTGTGGTTTTTATGCCGAGCGCATAGAAATACGATCCAGGGCACGCGTTTTATTCCTTTCGACGGCCGACGCAGCATGAGCAGTGGCAACCTCTGGCAAAGCCTCCTGCGCGAGTCCTCGGAGCGGGCGCCGATCCCGAGCACGGAGCTGCTGCTACTAGGTCCGGCCGAGTCGGGCAAGTCCTCGATGCTCCAGCGCTGGCAGCACCTCGGCAACAAGAGCCCCGCGGAGAAGCCGACGACCGTGCACACGGTGCTGCCGTCGGAGTTTGCCACGTTCCACTTGCCGAGCGAGGACGACCCGGCTTGCCAGCTCAACGTCTGGTCGTTCAACACAGATCAGCTCGAGACAGAGCCCGCACTCCTTGGCCTGGCCATTGACGTCGACCGCCTCCAGCATACGATCGCGCTCGTCGTGCTGGACGCGAGCCGCCCGTGGACGATCCAGCCGACGCTCGACAAGGTACCTATGGTCATAGACGCCGTGCTCATGCACTCACAACGCGCGCAGTGGCTGCCGGCCCTCGAGACCGCGCTGCAAGAGAAGATGCTCACGCTCGACAACTACAAGCGCGACGCGCTCCTCGAGGCGACGCGCAAGCATTGGCTCGGCTACGAAGAACCGGTATCCCTGTGCATGCATATCTCGCTCCATACCGACCCACGCGTGTAGGGGCGTTCGGCCGCCCCGGCCATCTTGCCGCTTGGGCGCGCAGACAACGAGACGGTACTTGCCACGTTATATCGCTTCGCTCCACCATGTACGCTGCCGATAGCCTACACTGCCCCACGGCGTCCTTCTTCATAATTGCGGTATCCCGCTCGTGCTTGTCGTCGCCAAGACCGACGTACGTCCTTCGTCGAAGAGCGTGTTGTCATCCCGCATCCTGTAGATCGCGCCGGACGACGCCGTGAAGCAGGACTTTGCGCAGTGGACGATCCGCGAAACTGCGCTGGCTTGTTGCCATGATGCAAGCGACTCTCGGTGTCTCATGCACGCGTAGATGGCGCTGCGGTCTGCTACACGTCGAGCAAGACGAGCATCAACGCCGAGCTGCTCAAAAACTATGTCCTGCACCGCACGCAGCCGGGCGTCAAGTTTGCCGAGTCGCCCAAGGTACAGCGATGCCGATGAGTCGCCTCTACGACCATCTCTAGCTCATCGACCGCAACGCAATTTTCGTCCCGAGCGGGTACGACTCGCAAGAGCTCATTGACCAGAGTTTGGTCGGCTCCCAGGTAGACGTCACCGTCGTCGAATATGCGCTCGACACGTCGCTCTCTAGCCGCGCTGGTCCAAGACCCAAGCCTTCGACAAGATGTTTCCCGTACCCAACGAGAAGAACGAAGACTCGGTACGACTGCGCTACAGCCCTAGCCCTTGCAATACCGTCCTCCGTGCAGGCACTGCTCCACGCTGAAGTCCGCGTCGACCCCAACCAGACGTGGCTTCGAAAGCTCGAGAAGGCGGCGGGCGCCGGTGCGTCGCCACATCGCGAGACGTATATCACCTATGACGTAGGCTTGGCCGATCTGCAAAAGAGCAGCGTGGAGGCCAGTCGTCGCGCCGACGAGCTCGCGGCGGCGCGCCGAGCCGAAGCCGAGTCGCGCAAGGTACTCCTTCAACGCGGTGGCGTCATCAACGCGATTGCGTAGGAAAAGCATGATGTCAAGAAGGACACCAAGGTCTCTCGCTACTTGTCATCTGCAGGTATCGAAAGCTGCTTGTAGGACGTCAACCCGAAACACTTGGCCAACTTCTTCAACAACCTCTTGAGCCGCCCCGAAAAACAAAAGTCGGGCCGCGTCCTCCTCGACAAGGCCAAGGTAGCGCGGCCGCCTCATGCGTAGATCTCTCAATTGCGTGCGCAGCTGCCCCCGAAAAACGTCAAGGAGCTCGCAGAAGACGAGCTGCGCAAGATGTAGTCGCATCATCATATCCTCGTCTTGTTTATGCGAAGAAGCCGACGCGTTCTGTTCGGTATGTCTGCGTCGTGTCGAGCGCATCTTGGTCGGCAAAGACGCGGCCCATGGCTTCAAACACGTGCACGGACGACGAGTTGGCGACGTCGATCATGGCCTGCATCTCCTTGACGTCGAGGGCGCCGGACCCGCTCTTTTGCATGCCGCAGAGGCGCTGGTTGGCGTCGATCGCGACGCTGATCTGCGCGCTCATGCAGAGCTCTTCTTCGAGGAGCGCGTCCATGACAAACCACCGGTCGACCTTGCTCAGCGTCATGCAGATTGGCCACGTGTCGAGGTTGAGGCGCGAGCCCGTCGCGGGGTCGGCGTCGACTTCGAGGAGCTGGTCTTCGTCCTTGTCGCCACTTAGCTTGATGGACGGGAGGAGGGTATCGCGGAGCGCGCTGTAGATTGCCATCGAGATGACATCCGGGAGGTTTCCAGACGTGTCAAAGACCATGACGTCGACGTAGACGACCCACACGCTCTTGTTGGGCACGATCGCGAGGCCCGGGAGGTCGACGACCACGAGTCGCTTCATGCGCTCCGTGAGCTCGACGTTCATTTCTTCCTGGGCGCGGCCATCCATCTTCTCCGAGACCGACGGCGCGCACTGCACATTGAGCTCGACCCAGCCGTTGGCGTGGTCGCCGTGTGCGACCTCGACCTTGACGCTGGCCAGCACGTCGGTGCTGCCGCCCTTGAGCGAGACGCGGCTCGAGCCGTGGCTCTGGCTCAAGAGGCCGTTCTCCATGCGGAGGACCCGGCGCGCGAGCCGGCTGCGGCCGTCGGCGCGGACGTCCTGGGCGATCCCGTCGGCGATGAAGGCGCGCTCGGAAGGGCTGATGCGAAGCATGTTGCTGTCTCTGCGACCAATCAAACGCAAAAGATGTGGTGCGTGTTTCCAACGACCAGGTGCTCTTTGATTCAAAATAGGTGCGGTATTCCAAATTGATTGAAAATTTAGTGCGCTTCTTTCGTGGCATCGCCATTAACCGTGTCGGCGGGATGCGCCCACTGGAGGTGTTTGGTGCGGACATGGCGCCAAAAGACGTGTCCGGCCTCGTTATCGCGCAGCTGCTCCCATGACCCGGCACGCGCAAGCACCTAGATGGATGCATATAACTATGAAACGTAAGGAGGCAAGTGATTCGTACGACCGAGCGCGGCAGACGGTGCTTGCTCGGGCCAACGGTAGCATACACGCCCGTGGGACTTCGCTCGTGCTGAAGGGCATTGTACTCGTGTAGAAGCGGCTCGTTGAGTGCGTCGACCGCAAGTGCGCGTCGGAACAGTGTCTCCGCCTATACTATGTGCATGAGCTCTCTGCGTCAACGCAAGTTCGTCCACCCGATCGAGGTCACTGTGAATATGCTGCTGGAACAAGGCATAGAGCCCCAGAGCCTGCATACAGTAGCATCACGCCACGTATCGCTGAAGGCAACGTACGAGCGCGTTGGTCGGGTCGGCGATGACGCGCCACCGGAAGCAGGCGTCCTCGAGCGGCGTGACGTCCCGCAGTAAAACGTCGCGTTGCTTGGCCATTTGCAGCAGTCGCAGCGCCCGCTGTCGGTTCTTGGACTGAGGTTTTCGTCCGCTAAGGAGTAAGAGCAGCGCGAGGGCCACGGACGCCACGACGTCTCCTTGCGCGACCTACATGTATGAATCGACAACGGTCCCAACGACGTGCTAATGTCGCACATGCAGAATGGCCTCCAAGTACCGATACGCCTGGTCCAACTAGAAAAGATAGGATACCACCGTGACCTCTACGAAGCTTGCAAGAGGTACCTCGAGGGACGCAAGGGCATGCAGCGCACAGCGCTGTTGTTCGTGCAGTGGCAATGTCGACGTGAACAGCGGGACGTTCTAGCTCGCAAGGACTACGAGAGACTGCTGCACGCCAGCTAACCCACCGTGTGAAACGAGAGGGCTTGCACGAGCAGTGGTAATGACACGCGGCCAACTGCGTTCTGGAAGCGGCGCCGCCGAACCAGTCGCTGCAGCGCCCGCACCGCCTACAACCGCGTTAGAAGCGCTCCCAGAAGGGTCTGAGCAAACATTGTCTTGGCTCCACCACGTCGACCACCCCCGCGCGGGGTTATAGTAGTAGACACGACCGGAGGTTGCGTCGAACTGCGCCAGCCACTCGTCCGTTGGTGAGTCAAAGTGCACACCCGGGTACAGTCGCGCCAACGGCTGCGTGCGCGAGATCGTTCCATGCACCTTGTTCTGATACAAGCGCTCGCCCGTCGTTGCCTCGCTCCGGAAGGTGTACATCGACTACAAAGCAGGCTCTTCCAAGGTCTCTCGTTTTAGGCGAGGTACGGGTAGTCGCGTGCGAAAATGCTGGCGCGCGAGGATCCCTCGGCATCGCGCCTGGAGCATACGCGCGGCCGCCACTTCTAGGTGGCGCTGCGCCTCCGACGCTTGTGTTCGTTGCATCTACGCACGTGGTTGTCTCGCACCTCGATCATGAAAACGTGGCACCTGCTGCGCGACGACAGTGTCTGGCAACATTGCTGCTGTCGGCGCAACGACACCGTATGCTGCCACGTACAGCGTGAGCGCTCGAAGAACGTCGTGGGCACAGTGCTGATGCGGGCAGTCGAGTGCCGATGTCAAGAGGTACCGCGCGGCGCCGAGGCTAGACGCCGGACGATCGAGGGGCACGCCACAGCAGCGCCACGTCACATGTCGAGCTCGCTGCATAAAAGTCACGATGGCATGCGCCAACGAGGCGTGCAGCGTGTACGTGACAAGCACGCTCGAGCTAAGTATCAAGTTGATACACAAAGCGACCATGATATCGTACGTGGGCTCGTAGACGCGGAGAACATAGTCATAATGGACACCGGATAAGCAGACAACGTACGCCGTTGGCGGCGCCCATACAACGCGGTGCGCGAGGTGCTAGGACCCACCGCGTAGCCTCCTTTAGAACAGTGTGTTTGTACCCGACCAGGCGTGTCGAACGCAGCGCTTCGATGCAGCCTGAGACGCTGGGTCATTTTGCCGATGTACAATCGCCCAAAGACAAGCCGCAGCTGCAGCCGCAGCGTCGATGTTCTTGCCTACAGTGTTCGTCGCAAAAGCTTTCCACAAAGCACGAACCTTGGCGGGCGTGGCAAGGTCGGCCCAGATCTGAGATAAAAGGGACGTGTGGAGCGTCATCTCGTACACGCGGCAACTTTCGGGTTCAAAAAGCTCGAGACGAAGCTGTCGGTCCTTAGCCAAGTCGACGTGACACCGAAAGACCGAGATGATGAAGCGACGACCGTCCACGTAGATGCCAAATCGGTCGAGGAAGAGTCGCCGACGCATCTTGAGGCGGTGGAGATGGCAGACCCACTCGGGGTGCATTCGGCGAAAGAGGCGGCGCCACCCGAGCCGATGTCGGGCCCAGCGCTGGAGCCGCACGCACCGGCCAAGTAGATAGAGACGGCGCAGCTCCTCAACGCGCCGGCGCTCGGCTTCGATGGCTTCCAGTCGCTGGCGTTCGCGCAAGGCGGCGAGCAAGACAACGTACCGTGCCTGCGCTATCCACATGCGCCCGTAGCATTGCAGAACGAGCACAGCCCGACGGCGTTGTCGTAGTAGGGCCAAGTGGTGCCTACAGGTCTTAATCAACACAAACAATGTACTAGTACACTATTTGTGTAGTTGACTGGTATTGGGCGTAAACGGCGTGGCCCCGGTACGTTGCCTGCAGGCGCGTCGCGGCACACATGTGTCGCGCCAGCAATTCCATTTGGTCGAGCTTGGCCTGCGAGCGGTAGCGCTCGAGTGCCTACTGCGATAATCTACCACGCATAGCACCTTACAATATAAAAGACCGTGGTCCATAGCGCCTTGCTGTGCGGGTCGCGCGTCAAGTGCTCCAAGACAAAGGCGCGCAGCGGGTGCTGCTCAACTCGACTGCGGTAGACCTCGGCGACAACCGCGTCGAGCGCGGCCAAGAAGCCGTCGCGCTCCATTTGGTGTTGGAAGACGGGGCACGCGTGTTTGAAGAAGATACGATCGAGAAGACCGAGTGGGAGCAGCTCGGGCGTCACGCCGCAGTCGCGAATAAACTTTGCAAATTTCACAGAGTCTAGTGGGCCGCTCATCAAGGTCGCATATACACGGGCAACCTACCGACAAAATCTACAGAAAATTCCATCGCGATCCTCTTGCACGAGAAAGAGCGTACAGTTGGACGGGTACGTCTCGCAGAGCTCCTTGTACTTGGCACACAGCATGTCGAGGACTGGGGTCGCCCCAACGTACGGCGTCCAGTCGAGTCTGTCGCTCCAAAAACCATTTTCCAGCGCTTCTTCCGGCACAGCGTATTGGAGGCGCAGTCGAAAGAACACATAGTGCAAGGGCGACCCGACGTACTCGGTCGTCGGGTGCCGGACGTAAAACTGCAGCTGCTGGAGCCAGCGCGGCCGCGTGTCCATGCTCTACCACACAGTCGTACACCTGTAGCATCGTCGTCTGCGCCTACCGATGGCACGAGCCGCCAGAGGTTCGAGGTCGCCGGGCAGTTGACGCTTCCGCGCTGCGGTCGGCGCAGAAGACACTGGTAGCGAATGTCCGTGGCATCCGAGGACGCGGGATGCAACGGTGCGACGACAACGTCCAAGCCATTGACGAGGCGGAGGCCGCTGCCGGGCGCCAGGTGCGGCAGCATCAACTCGGGCACGGGACACGGTGCTTCGATGAAGCACAGCCACTCGTTGAGCCGCGTTGCGTGCAGCGAGGCAAGCAGGTACATGGGGATTGCACACCAATTTGCGTCGTCCTAGTGAAAAACATCACATGTCAAAAAATGACGCGCCTTCATCACCTCGCTGCGTGCGTCTCCTTGCCTGTGGATCGCCTACGTCAGTCCAGAGCTCGCGACAATCTCGCCGTCATCAGCGTCACAACGTACGGGCAGCGATGGCAGTGACATATCATGGTACTTGCGTGCGTCCTTGAACCGCTAGCCCATATGTTAGAACATCATCCTCTTGGTATAGTTTAACATCAATATCGGTCTGCAGGGGCAAGTGTCGAAGGCGAATTGCCGTGTAAAAATCACTCTCGTGGGCGCCCGCGATGGCATCGTACCCGCGCTGGCTCCATTGATTGAGCGTGCCAAGCATCAGCTCGCGGATTTCGTCGGTCAAGGGCAGCTGCACGCCAACACTCCGGACGTGCGGCAGTGCCACGACGTCCGGCGGGTCGACGCAGGCGCCCTATCAGCCCACTTTCCATCGCTCCTTCCGGCGGAAGATCGACAAACCATGACGAGATGGGCTTGCACATACGTGGCAAAGGCGGTGCAAGCGGCAACCTGGCGCCGCGGTCCTTTCTGTACGAGCAGAACCAAGGGCAGCAGCTGTGCCAAGCGCAGGCGCGCTTCGGTCGACAGCGCGACGCGGGTGCCTCGGTAATAGAACCGAGCGCCCTCGGAAGCGCGGAGACCATTGCGGAGCTTGGAGAGCGGCATCGACAGTGTCCCGAAGACAGCACTCATCGAGACCGTCCGCATCTCATTCGCCTCGAGCACAAGGACGTAGCAGAGAACGGGGAGGCGTTGCCGCCCGACCACGGCGCGTGGCGGCTCAAACGGCCAGTCGTACGTGTGCATGGCTTGGGCAATGGCTGCGTGGAGCGCGCGAGGCGGATAAGAAGACGCGCCGCGCAGAAGCGACAGAACGCGGTGGTCGTCGGCCGGGAGGTACGCCACCATGCATCGCTGGCCCAATGCATCCGCAACAGCGATGCGCAATCCCTATGTGGACGATGTTAGAGAGATGAAGGAAGCGTCCTTGAGGCAGGTACATCGTCGGTGGCGACGACATGGGCCAAGAGACGGCGCCCATGACGACGAAAGACGTGGCGAAAGGTGCGTCGGTACGGCGCCGACTTCAACGGGCTCTGTCGCTCGTTGGCTTGGAGATCGTATAAAGTCGATGGCGAGAGCACCGTTGCGAGACAGAGGTACACCCAGCTACCCAACGCCGCTGCAATCGCACTGATCTTGGCGACAGCAGTGAGACGAAACGAGGGGTCTTCGAGGTAGACGAGGCAGACGTCGATCGTCGCGGTGGACAATGGCCCAGACTCGCCGTGGTTTAGCTGCCGTAGATGGCCATGGAGCCGGTGGACAAAGGTGCTCGGGCTACGCAAGAGCGTCTCGCGCAAGAACGTCCATGTGAGCTTGTAGAACGATGGATGCTCGACCTCGAAGAGGACGAGGTAGATGGCGCCGAGCAAGATGTGCACGCTCCGGTGCGGGTGCGACGGGAAGCCACAGAGAGCGTCGACGTCCTCGACGCTCAGCGCCTCGAAGCGGTCGTGCAGGGCGCGATGGCTCTCGCCCTCCAGAAGGTCCCGGATCCGCGCCTGGTGCGACCGTGTCTCTTCCGTCATACTGCCATGATGCGAATCTGAAACGGCGCGACCTCTGTAAATTTATAAAGCACACCAAATCCATCAATACCAGTAATAGTATGTCCAATGCATAATTAGTGTGCGTATACTATATTCAGACGTGCCAAGAATGCGTTGTCGGAGGTTCCAACATGGCGACGACAGCAACGACGTGGCCAACGCTGGCCTGGGACGACGTCCAAGCCGACCTGGACGCAATTCTGGCGACCAAGACGACAACGGCGCAGGATGCGCCGCTAGCGGCAGATGTCGAGGATGTCAATGCCGATTCTTGCGACGATGAGCAGGCCAAGATTCGGGCGCTGGCGACCGAGATCTTCCTCGTCCATGCCAGCCTCACGACCGCCCGCGAGCGCATGCGCTGCAACGCGTCGCTCGTGCGCGTGATCCAGACGTACTTGATGGCGGCCAAGATGGTACGTCGTTGTCCGCACCGGTGCGAATGGCTCACGCCATGTAGGATCCCGCCGACGCGGGCACCAAAGCCGTCGCTCTGCAATGGCTCGCATCCAATGCCCCCGACTGGGCAATCCCAACGTCACACCTCGACGAGTCGGCGCTTCTCGACTGCATCCGCGACGACATCCTCCACGCCAGCACCAAGGACGACTTTTTAAAGCATTTCGAGTCGGCGACGCACGAAGCCATTTCCTTCCCGGCGCCTGCGCCTGCAACGCCATCGCCTCCACCTTCGTCGCTGCTCGGTCCGATCCCAGAGGTGACGGCAATCGAAGCGTACCAAGACGCCAAGGACATTCAGCGCGACCAAATACAAGTCAACGGTATCGTGTACCCTGGCATCGTCGGCTACGACAGCCTTGTCGCCGCGCTCACGACCGTCATTGCCAACGTCCATTCGGTCTTCCGCGACGAAGATGACAAGCGACCGCAGTATGAAGCCATGGCCAAACGCGTGCTCCACGTACGCATCTGCCTGCAACACATCCTCTGCATCTGTTCTCTAGACAATCAACCGGACCGAGTCGGGCGGCTCGTCCTACGAAGTGCTGAGTCAGTTGATGCCCCCCATTGCGCTGCTCCGCCCCAACTCCAAGGATGCCAACGCCCTCGTTCTCAACATTGACGTCGGCCCGTACGAAGCAAGCGCGCATGTATGGTGCTTGGGGCTACGCGTCCGCCTCACGACGTCGACCGCCTACGTCATCTGCGACGCCGACGACCCGACCGACGAGTGGTGTGCGATCGACGTGGTCTACTGCAACCGGCTCGCGTTTGCATTTGGCGACAGCCCGTACACGTCCACCTCGATGGGCGCGCGCGTGGACCGGGCGCGCATCTCGTTCGCGGTCATAAGTTAGAATTTACCGTACACCAAGGTGTCTAATCGCTGCACGTGCACAGCGAGGTCGCGGTTGCGGTGCGCGAGCCGCAGCTGCTCGTTCGTGAGCAAGCGGACTTCGTCTTTTGCGATCTGGAGCTCGTCGCGGAGCTGCGTTACCTGCACCGAAATGTCAGATACGAGGTCGTCAAAGGACACAGTACCTCGTCTTGCTTTTGCCGGGCGACCAACTTCCACTCGTCGCGCTCGGTCGCCACTTCACGCAGCTGCGTCGCGAGCTCTAGCGCCTGCAATGACACCGGAGACGAGGGATGTACGAGGTCGACGCACCTTGTGTCTCGGCGCTGGCGAGGCGCATGGCGTCGTGGGCGTTCGCGAGTTCCTGCCGCAGCTCAGTCTCTCGCGACAGCGCCGCCTTGTTGTCGAGTTCCAATTGCTTGAGCGCGGTCTCGACTCGCACGAGAATGTCGAGCTGCTCGGACGCATCGTGTTCGGACGCGGTCCACCGCCGAGCGAGTGGCGTCTCATTGCCCTCGTGGTGCAGCGTTGGCTTGAGCTGCTCGTCTACTTCGTGGTGCAGCGTTGGTTGTTTGGGCGGCTCGTCGTCCGGGATGCTCTTGGTGCTCGCCGGGCGAACGCTGCCCCAGCTTTTCGCGAGCTTGGGCGACGTGGCCTCAATCACCGAGAGCATACCATCGAGCTTGTCGAGGTCGAGGGGTGTTGTAGACGCCACTTGCATTCGCTCGTGACGCCTCGCGTGGGCCATGGCAGGGCTTGCGCTGAGCGTGGCCATGGAGCGCGTCATCGCTGGTGTCTCGGCCACGTCGGCTTGCGCCCGTAGCACCTTGGCTTGCAGCGAGGCCACCCATCGCGAACAGTGCTGCGGCGTCGGCGCCATAAACTCTTCGCGCACCCTGCTACCATGGCTTGCGGTCGTATGGGCTATCTCAAAGCGCGAGCCGGCCTTGGTCTGCACCGAGTGCACCTTGTCAAGCGCAATGCGGTACGTGGCGGGCAGCGCGTCGTCCAGGTCGCACGGGTCGAGGAGCAGGTCGGGCCCATGGAGGAGACACTTGTACTTGACCCACTCGAAGAGGTTGGTGCGCTCGTTCTTGACCTTGCGCTTCAGCGTCGTCTCGACGTCCTTGTCGTCGTCGGCCAGGCGTGGCATCGCATCCAATCTTTATCCGGACAGCCCGTTACCAACCGCTCGCTGCCGCCAGCGTTTCGATCCATATTCTGTTTGGCGTAGATTCTGGATGCTATGCGTCGAGGCGCTGTCGGTAGAGCACCGTGGTGACAGTCCGTGCGTCGACAGAGACACCTTCTGTGCTGCAGTCGCAATGACGTTGCACATACCTTGCGCCGAAGACTCTACTGTCGAGGTCGACGATGCTGTCGTGGTCGTCGACGATGCATCAGGGAATCCTGGATCGTCGTGCATGCTGGTCATCGGTGCAGAACGCAAGAAGGGCGACGCCCCGCTGCTACCGCATGGCCAGAGCGAGTAGCGCTCGTCGCATGCTTCGATCGCCATCAAGCATCTTAAAGTAGTAGCCACAAACGTGCTGAGTTACCACGCTGGAACCAGCGACGACGCCGATACCAAGCCTTCGACACATGTGACGCACTCGCTTCCATTTCCCACAGCCCGTCGTCTGCATCTTGGCATTTGTCTGAAGGCTGCCATGCGCTTTTGGCTCTGGTTCTTCGCGCTCCTTCTTGTCTCGAGGGTCGCCGCTGCGCTCAACATCTCGGCCGACGAGCGCCATGAGCTCTCGCGCGACTTGGCGCTGTGGCAAAAGAAGTTTGGTGATGACGACCACGTGCGCGCAGCCATGAAGATGGTGCGAGGAACCTTAACGACCGACGATCTGCTCGGACGCTTAAAGGCGACCAAGGACAAGCTGCCGGCGCTTCGCGCGGCCAACCCGCACGCCACGTTTAGCCATTTGACCAAGTTTGCGCTGCTCACGCGCGGCGAGCTGGCGCGGTTCACGTCGGGACCACGGATGCAAGCACCTTCGGGTCTGCCGTACGACGGCAGTGGCAGCGTGGCCACCGACACGATCGACTGGGTACCGTCCATGTGCGTGTACCCAGTGCAGGACCAAGGCTCGTGCTTTAGCCTCTGGGCCATGGCAGCGATACAAGTCGCAGCCTCGGCGCACTGCCTCGCGACCAGCCCCAAGAGACTGCTCGACATCTCGATCCAAGAGGTCGTGAGCTGCGCCAACCCTGGCGGCCCCGATGGCTGCCATGGCGGCGACGCCTACGCAGCGCTCAAGTGGATTCTTATGCAGCAGTCCGCCTTGTGCTCGGGTGTCAAGATACCGTACACAGCGCGCGTGTCTGGGTACGCGCCCACTTGCAGCGACAACAGCCAGTGCGCGGGCACCATCTCGTTTGACGTGAATGAAGTGGCCGAGAAGAGCGGCGAAGCGTTGCTTGAGAAGCAGGTGCGCGTGCAGCCCGTGCTGGTCACAGTCTCGGCGTCCAGTGACACGTGGTTCCTCTACACGGGCGGCATCCTAACGTCGTGCCCGCAGACAAGGTGGGCCCTCCCCTACCCGATGATCGTCATCGGCTTTGGCACGGAGAACGGCGTCGGCTTCTGGAAGGTCCGCAACGCGTGGGGCACGATCTGGGGCGAGCAAGGCGACATGCGCCTCCTCCGCGGCATCGGCGGCCGCGGCACTTGCAACATCGCCGCGCACTTCATGTACCCCGTCATCCCGTCGCGCAACGCGTAGGCGAGAGCGACACCGCGTCACCCGACGGCAACGATGGCGCGTCCGACTAGCAAACAAGTTGCATTGTTAATCGTCGCTGGATC